TTGACCGACATTGGGAAAGCAACCCTTGAGGTACGCCGCGATCTCATTTGACTCCACCTCAGCGCCTTGAGACTTGAATAGTTGAAAGAGATTGGATGGTCCGGTTTGGTTCGCTTTCACTGAAGAAGGTGTGTCGATAACAATAGGCGCGGGCTGATCTTTCGAAAGCTTCAACTTGCGACTGTCAAACTTATCTTGAAGTAGCTTGCGTGCCCGCCTAGTCATTTCATGCTCCAGTCCAAACACTTGTTCGAAAAATTGAAGTCGGAAGAATGGATTGAGGATGGTGGCCATAACCGTTGTATCACACTGCAACGCCTCTTCAAAGTACTTATCTACACGTGCTTGCATTGATTGGATCATTGGAAGAAGTGCGTCTCCGATAGTAAGTTCCTCAACCCGAGTTGCTAGATGACATTTGAGTGCATAGAACTCAGGAATGACCAAACAGCCGTTCGGGCCGTCGCCTTCCATCCGTTTGGTGAGATCTGGGAAGGGCTTTAATTTAAAAGTATTGATATAACCCTCAAAGTCAGCACCTATCAAAGCCAAGCTTTAGTTTACGAAATCAAACTTACCGCCAGTTCGTTGGTCAATTCCTCAAGGGCGGTCCAGTCATCTTGTGAAAAAAAGATCTCGTGGAAATATCCACGAGGCTTCTTGCTGTCCTTTCGGCGTTTCTTCATCTTGATTAGGTTGAGGTCATCAGCTAAGAGTCTGTTGACAACCTGATATGACAAAGAACATAAGTTATTGTAACTTGAAGTTAGTTGCAATGGTGAGATTCAACTCACTTTACGTGCCTGCACCAATCGGTTGAGCGAGTCGAATTCTGCATTCCAACGGGTGGCGTTATAACCAGGAGTCAACGGCAGAAGTTTCAAACTCATGCGTTTCGCGATTCTAGAATAGTGTAGCCTCCATGCCGCCAAACGAGCAACCCGACGTGACACAAAGTTTGCCTGTATCCATTTCAACAAAGGGAATGATGGCAGATCAGTTGGAGACAAGAAATATATTTGAAGACAAGAGAGTACTGGAGAAACATTTGAGAAAAATAGATGATTACCTTGCTAATCAAGCCATTTAATCTGTTTGCGTGTTTCCTGGAAGAGTTAGTGTGAGACCCGTTGAGGATTGGGGCTTCAAGCGCAATGGTAGGATCATCCGTGTCGGCCTGATTCTCCTCTTCTTCATCATAGTCAGGAGCTGCTTTGGCGGTGGCGTCACCTTCTGAATCGTGGTCGGTATCAACCTCATCTGGTACATTAGTCTCTTCTTCGGGTATGTCAATTACAATCGGTGTGGAAAGATCGGATTCTTCATCCTCCTTGGCGATGACAGGGAGAGTGGCTGAGAAAGGGAATCAACCGAGAGTTTCTTCACGGTCCTGAGCTCGCAAGGAAGTCTTACGACCCAGTTCTTCTAAGCCGCCTTTAACCGTCGAAGAGATTTTATGGAGAAAACATCGGGCGTAGTCCGTTTTTGGGTTCCAGGTGTATGACAGTTTCGAAGTAGAAGTTTCTTCAGAGGTAACCTCGGAGTTCATTCGGTCTTCCTTGTGCATTGAGCATTGCGTGTGCATCTCGTTTGCCATCGTGATGTTATTTGACCCAGAATCGGTCACCTGGGCAAGCATGTGAGGGTGGCAAACAAATTAGTCTTCTGAAAGATATGAAAAATGAAAAGAAAGGTACTTATCTTATATTGTAGTTTGTGTTTCTTCATGAAGTGAACCAATGGCTGTGCGAGCCAGATTCCTTTGTGATGCCAAGCTATTAACTTCAAGGTTAGATGACAAACCTGGTAATTCCAGTCCTCATCAATGAACGTGACGGCCGCTCCTAAGAACGCGTGGATGTTGTTGTGCGTCGTCCAACCATCGTGAATTAAAGTGAATTGGCCCGTATTGTTCTACAGTAACAAAGAAGAGGACATTAGTTTCTTTTTAATTCAATTCGAAGTAATTAATCGATTTACTTACAAGGATCTCTTTTAAGACGGTGTCTTGAAAGGATACATACATACCGGTGTCCTCTCTTGCAACCCACGTTCGACCGAAGATCTTCGCATCACGCCGAGCATATTTAAATGCAAGGCGTAGGAGTGAGTCTTCGATTCGACTCCATGGGAGAGCCTCAGCTAGAATCCACACAGCGAGGATCTGGTTGAGGACCTCGTTCTTGAAAGGAACCTTGCTGTCAAAGAAATCTGGCATTTGTTGTTGCCCGTTCGACGTCATTTGTTGTTCAAAAACCGTTGGAGGAAGACTGATGCCACTGTCGATAGCTTCCTGCCGAGCTCGACAAGGAATTCGTATGCGTCCCTTATTGTAGCCATCCCGGTGTATCTTAAGATTGTTCAGTGATTCCGGAACGACTCGAACCATCTTTTTACACCATAGGCATGGCCACGAAAGAGGTTTCTTCGATTTATCCTGCAAAACAATCAGTGTGAGTAAATACATGTCACTTACTTGTTTAATATAAATCACTTACATCATTTGGCTTGTGTTCAGGTACACCAAAATAGTCAACTACAGCAGCATACTCAGGCTCTTCGGGTGTGGTGTGCAACACCTTGGTCCGTTTGGTCTTCTGACGCTCGGTGAGACCGTTATTGGAATCCTGATTCATTTCCGTGTCAGATGGTGCGTCACGTTGAGAGCCCTGTTAGCATAAACAAATGCGTTGATCAGCTATTTGAATATCCTCATTAAAATTTATAACTTGAACTTAAGGCTTGTGAACTCACTTGGGCTGCTGTCGCTTGTGATGCTGTGTTTTTTCTCTTTCGACGGGGTACTGATGGTTGAGAACCAGGGGGACTCGAATTGATGGTTAGACTTTGACTATCAGAAGTTTTAACATTCCGTGATCGACTCTTGCGCGCAGAGACTGAACCAGGGCCTTGAGGTAAGGGTACAGTAATTCGACTATCGGCGGAAGGCTGGACCATCCCGGGTAAACTCTTACGTGGGGTTGGTGGTCTAGTTGAGCGACGAAGGGGAGTAGGTAAGACATGTTGAGAAAATTCTGATGTGTCAGACTCGGAGACATTGTCTGAGTCAAGGGTGCCCATTACAAGAAGCGATAATCTAAGATTGTGAGTGAGATTGTGAGCTGGGGACAAAGAATATGAAAGTGATTGTAGTATCTTGCGATGAATGTTGGGATGATCAATTTGAGGGAGAGAATGAGAGTCAGACTGGTGAAATAAGATCGATTGTAGTCTATCAGGATTATTGATGATAAGCGAATGAGAAGAACATTTTGATTGAAGAGATAATAAATCAGAACTGGGATCTTGTGTTTGAGTATATTTGAGTCGATTCCGGATGGCCAGGGGCCTAGACCAGGTCATGATTGCGTTGAGAAGGGGTTCCAAGGGGTAGCTGATGTGTTGGAGGGAGCCGAATCGGTAAGACAGTGGAGGCTAGGTGATGGATTGGGAGGTACTTGACTCAACTTGGCGATACGGGAAGGCCGGGGCTAGCCCGTAGCAGGCGGTGCGTTGCTCGGTGCGTAGCCAGCAACGCACCGCAACTGCGACATGACCGCCTCCTCCCTGAGCAACGCACCGGGCAAAAGTCATAGGTGGTGCGTTGCTCAACGTTGCGCAGACATAGCCGTTGCTCGGCGTTGCTCATCAAAAGCAACGCACCGGCCCAACGTTGTTCTTGGGTTGGGGTTTGTGTCCTAATTTTTTGAGTTCTTTGTTGTCAAATTGTTCTGGTTGTTGGGTTTTCCACTCCTTCATAGGCAGCTATCATGTACATACAGAGGTGCTCAGCTGTTGGTTCATCTGAATGAGTAAATCATATGTAATAATTTGTCAAACTGGAAAAAGTTATGTGATAATGGTACTCAAAGCAAGTATATGGCACTGCATATGTGGCACCACATACTTTCAAATTTTGCTTTTGACTGGCAATATCACTTAAACTGACATTTTCTTTAAGTTGTTATGCTATTTTGCATGTCAGAAAAGAAATTATCAATGTTACAGGTACCCAAAGTCACAATGGCACCTGTATAGCTCCATGGAAATATAGGATGAACAATAGGTTAGAGATTCTGGTACATATCCCTATGGTACCAGGCCTAAGAGATAGTTTCCCACCATGACTTCAAAGGATTACAAAGTGAACATCTCCGTTGAAAGTAGAGAATTCTCACCCTATTATCATTACTTTTCAGCACAAATCCAAGGGGTAATCAACCAGTATCTTCACTTTTTGTTCAAATTTTCTTATTCCTTCCACCAACTCCTGCACCCTGTCACACAGGGAGCCTGTCCAGTCACATGAATTAAGGCCTACCGCCCCCCACGACCACACTTTAGCTTGTTTTAAACTTAGATTAAGTTAACAGTCTAAAAATAGTCAAAGTGGAATACTTCATATGTTAACTAAAGGATAAAAAAATACTCAAATAAGTAAAATGAAAGGAAAAAGAAGACAAGAAGTGAAATAGATTTCAATGGAAATCAAATGAAGAAGAATAGTACTGACTGATGTTGTTAATTTGAAAGTTAGAAGAAGATAGCTAAGCATAAACATGAAGCAGAGGAGGAGGAAACTCCTGAGTGAAGTTTGTATATAGCAAGAGAGGACCGGTTGACAGAGATGTGTAAACATTGACAGCAAACCAATCTTGCACCACAGGACCCAAACTGGTCTCTCATAAGATCAATCAAGCAGTGTGGCTATATTGACACTGCCAGGATTAAACACTGTCCCCAATGGAATAATGATCACTTTTGCATTAATTGCTTAGCATTTATATGGCAAAAATTCATTATCCCAAAAAAGTGACACATTATTCCAATTAGGACAGTGTTTAATCCTGGCAGTGTAACAAGCTAAAAGTTATTGATTTAAAATTTCAAGGTTGAAGTTGAAACAACATCCCAAAAATCCAGAAGCAATGGGTATTGTCAACACCAAATGTAACACTGATCTCAATCCAGAGCACCTTTACAAAATACCAAATAAATCAAAAGATGATAATACAGCATCTTTCTTTGGGTCTACCACATGAAGAAGGACCATAGGTGGAACTGGTTGGAAGAAGAAGCTGGGATCTTATAAGAGTATCATTAGGAAGGCTTGAAATTAGGAGAGTAAGATTAGGGCGGTTCAAGAAGAGAAACACAAGCCACAGGGTTGCCAAGTTGCAATCAGTCTTTTTAGGGTTGCTCGATCCTTAAAAAGCCTGATTGCAAAGTGACAGATGCTCTAAATTTATGTTTTAAAGCTTTGTAAATTCAGTAACACCGTTGTTGTGATCAATTTATGGGATCAATCAAATAAAATTAAGTATAGTTTGTTTATCAAGTTATTAGAAACGTTCAGCATAAAGGAAAACCCAAAATTGATGGAATCTGATCAATAGAAGATCTTTTAGGATTATACATTGCACATTAGATTATTATGAGGACACTTATTTTAAACAGCTCACTAAGATCAGAATGAATTATTAACAAAAGATTGTGAAAAGAAAAGAAACAAAAAACACAAGAAAAATTTGAAAGTATAGGTGTACAGGCTTGGAAATGGGTTTTAGGGTATCAATTTTAAGTTCTTAGGTATTGTGAGGTTAGAAGATGAAAGAACAGTATCTTCCTACACAATAACAACTTAATACTTGATGGTTGATAAGGAGGAATAGAAGCTATTAGGAAAACAGTACTTTTTTGAAGTTTTAAACACGGGTTTTACAGGTAGTTTACATATATAATGGTGGTGTTAGTAACATATGAGGTTGCCAAGCAGAATTTACGTGATTTTTAAGGCTATAGATGATGATGTAACATTACAGGAGCAAGAGACTAGTAGCAATAGCTGTGTAAAGTGGTAAAAATGGGTGAATTTTGTCAAAAATGGAGGTTTTCAGCTTATTACATATGTCAAATGACGTCAGAATTGGAGGATAGATAGCTCATTCAACGCAGTAGAGTAGATTACATAGTTTAAAAACTTTTAATCAGTAGTAACATAGGTTTGTGAAGAAAGTTAAAAGAGGAATAAGAAATTGATGCAAACATCAAATTTTAGACTTACATGCATACATGTAACAACATTTACATACAAAAACCTTAACTTCACAACTCAATAACTCATCCATTACTCATCAGAAGTACCTGATATGGCGCCTATTATTGATAAGTATCACAAGCTCTACAAGATGCACATTAGTAAACCAAATTTGGACATCATCTGAAAATACCCGTAACTTCAAAAATAGGTTTGCAGCCAGTTTACAAGGAAAAGATGACCTGTATTCATCATAAGAAGCGTTGCGTAACATCTAATTACATCATTGATCACTTTGGCTGTGTAAACTACTTGTGTTGAACAGTGAGCTGGCCTTCAAGGGCTTTGATCAAACCCTCAAATTCAAGTTTGTCCATTCAACAATTACGGGATACAAAGTAGAAGCCAGGCACGCGCCCGGCTTTGTGCCCAGATTTTTTTTTGGCAGTAAATTTGAATTCTGGGCCCGGAATTTTGCCCAGAAAATCAAAATTTACTGCCAAAATAATTCCGGGCACGTGCCCGGCTTCTACTTTGTATCCTGTAAATACACCCAAAAATGTATATGACTTTTAAAATCTCCTTTGTATATTTATTCCCACAGTGTTTGAACGTTTGACATCAAGTCTTGGGAGCTGGTTTCAGACTAAGAATTCTTTTCTGGCTTTAATAACAACATTGAAAAAATAGATAGTTCTGAAAGAGGTCAATGACCTTGTGAAGTTCATGCATCAGATGATTCAGACATGATTGGTGGTGGTGGTTTGCACCACCACCAATTTGTTTCTGGGCTGTGTTGTCCTTAAATGATCAACAGAGAGCAAACACTTTTCACATGATTTGTGTTCTCTTTCTTTAGAAATATCAAAATAGGACAGTTTTCAAACAAAAGCCTGTAATACATGTACATACAAAAGTGGTGTCTGAAAACCAATTTCTACAAAACCAAGCTAAGTGAACATGCTTTAAATCTATGCAATTGGATCTCTATTCAAGTGTAGTGTAGGTGTCAATTTTACAAAACATCATGACATAAGGCAGGGTACTTGTTTGTTACATTGTGAGTCAAATGATCATCACACATGTTTTGTTGTGTTTGGTAACAAATAAATGCAAAGGAATCCAAAGAAATTGGTTGTGCTCTGATTGCAATGTCAACTTGGGACTTGGGTTGGTGATCACAATTAAGTCCTGAGGATTTATATCAACAGTCCATTCAAGCTGTTTTCAAAGAACTCATAGTTGGAATTCAAACCATATGTTCAATCATCATCTCTCATTGACAGCCGTATGATCTGTGGCAATGTGGCATTTGGTATATGAATCTAATTTGTACAATTGAAGTCCATCGTCCAAACTTGAAAACCTCAAACATCCAAACTAATTACAATTTTAAAGGAGTGATAAAAAAAACTTCACTTAAAATGAAGCTACAAAAATTCATCTAGGATTTAACACACTCTTGGTGATCTAAACAGCTTAATTCAAACTCTTCTGTACCTCCTAGTAGGATATGAGTTAGATTCTTCAGTAGGGTACGAGTCAGATTCAGAGCCAGGATTTGAAGTATAACCATCCGAGTTAGAAGAAGATTTAGATGATGAATCATAGACCTTCCAAGCCGTATGCATCAGGATCACAAAGGCTTGTGCTTCAGGACTCTGTTTACCAGGTGATCCATCGTATGGAGCTTTTGCATTCCAATCTAATGGATCTACAACCGTTGAAACACTTCCAGTCTTCGGATCAAGATGTTTTTCTAGGATCGTCTTTCTGGCTTCTTCAATCTTGTGCATTGGTAAGATCGATTTAAACTCATGATTCAGGTTGACGAGCCGATAAGCTGTAGCAGCCAAAAGAGCTGTACCTGATACCTCGTCATCTACGTTTAGATAAAGAAGAGAATTGAGGATGAGCGGTAGATTTTGTTTGTGAAGAATTTGAAAACTAACATGTGTCCTCAGCTTTCTTGTCATAGTAATTCGGAAGTAGACGAGATTCCGAAGATTGAAACTTATATGATCCCACAATGATCTCAGCAATCCAAGTTTCTAAATCGGTTTGCATCTTGGTTAATTTTCCTTTTAATTCTTGATTTGAAACTGCTTCCATAGTTTGTCTAACTCTCATCATTCCAGCAGCCGCCCATCCATTTCCAGTACTCCATAGACCTGTATCATTGAATGAACCTAAGGATACAAAGATTTGAGATTTCGATGTTCTTTTGGTTTGATAGAAGACAAAAAAGTATCTTACCCTTTAAGATGTGTCTAAATGTTCCAGTGTCTCCGTCCCGCAGCACATCACGATAATATTTACATTGAAGGTACGAATTTTCTAAGATGGCGAAATTTGAATTTATCGCGCCCACGTAAGCGAGGAAAGGAGGCACCATGTGAAGAAAATCAGACCTGTGATTTCAATGAAACAGTGTTAATTCAATTAACCTCAATTGGTCATTAAGAATCCGGATAAAACAAGACAAGATCATGATATTGACTGACCAGTATTGAACCTCCGATTCACGTTGAGAAATTGCCCCATTAGTATCCTTTGGAACTTTGTTAATCAAATGATCATATTGTTCTTGTGCAATCTTTAAATAATCATATTTAGGTTTCTTGCTGGCTCTTTTTGAAGCATTATCTAAAACCAAAAGAGGTACACCAAGACTGGCAGGATCAGCAGCTGCTCCATCAGCTTCAATGATCGTTGTAGCATTTGATAATCTTTTGGCTAAGATTGAATCGACTAATTTAAATAATGGTTTGGGTTGCCAAAGTTTAGGATTAGGTGTGATAGGTAATGGTAAACTTACGTTAGGTGCGAAAACACTAAGTTCTGAATCGCCTTCGAGTTGTACCATCACTTCTGCGTAGGTTCCATATTCCCAACTATAAGATTGAAATGAAATGAAATATCTTCTTGTCAGACTTTGTTCTATGAAATGAAAGTAAACAAAGTATTACCTGTGATTGCTTATTCGACCAAGAACCTCATATGCAAGGTCTATTGTAGGCTGATAGTCAGGTTCATGACTAGCGTTGAGTTGATAGATAATGCTAAAGAAAATGCAAGTATATAATGGCAAAAAAATCATGCTAGGCAGGGATAAGAGAGGGTATCTTAGTTCAGTGTAAGGGTATAAAAAAATTGACAAGATAGGATATCACAAAGCGAGCACCAGTAAAATTGCTGAAGAGCAAGACGTCTATAAAGAAAAAAATGTGCCAAGTTACGTGTTGGAAAAACTTCGATTGACTCATCCTTCCTTGGTTGAGTGATATCGCAATTGTACATACTGGCCACCAGGGTCTATTGACAAGCGGTTTTTCCATCACCTTCGTATTCAAACCGGCCAACTGGACAACCTATGATCCTGATTGACTAGGTGCTTGACGCCATCACCAAGTTTCTAGACCGCCAAGGCTTTGCTGTATCCATTTATCAGGACTTGTGGGGTTGAGCGAACTGTCAAGACTCAACACTGGTGTGGGCGAAGTTGTTGACCTTCCGCGCTTTCCTAAGCTTAACTAATCCCACGAGCGCGGTCGGCGTGCCCACGAAGAGGAAACTTTCCACAAGATTTGAAGGCCGACATTTCACATCTCACCCAAGTTCCCAACCTTCTAACAATCCGCACTTTTAACACAGAGAGATGATGTTCAGGTAACCATTCTGTTCTTTGAAGGTTGTCAAAGGCCCCTTGAGCGCTTCTTATCCTTTCATTATCGGCCCTACTCAACGACCCTTGATCAGTCTAGTTTTGGTCAGTGATGTACTCTTTGAGAACAGCTCTCATTGTGAAATTAAGCTTAACTAAGCCCCTCGAGGGCGCGGCGAACGCGCTAGAGGGGCTTAGTTAAGCTTATTGTGAAATCTTGCTTCTTCCGTAGCACGAAAAACTCGTCCAGAGACTCTAATCCGACTACAAATTATTATATGCATGCAGTTATATAACTTTTGAAGGAATACAGGTGTCAAACCCGAGCCTTCGAGCTCAAGAATGTAGGATCAAATCGAATAAGATTGTCCTACATAAAACCGACATTCTTAAGAAATAATCCAAAAACGCGTCAAACCCACCCAATTCAAGAGTGACTAATTTCTTAACGCATGGTACCCTTCACAGTTAATTATTCCAATCAAAACCTTTCTCACTTTACTCATCTTTCACGTCCGTAGAGTTACACTACAGACCAAATAACTCAAAGCATGAGTGATATAGAATACCATCTTGACCATCGTAATATGGCTCAGACCATCCTATGAGCTTCAAGTCTAACTCCAAAAAAAAGATAAATACACAATATAGTCTTCCAAAGGACCGAACCATCATACCAACCTTACAAATACGAACAAGACTTCAAGTACTACTCAGCCTGCATGATCACCTGGGGTTTCAAGTTAAAAAAGTGCCTAAAATTCAAATATCCCTACATAAAAACATAGCTTATAACTTCCCAATTTTTAAAAAACTTCCAGAAAGCCCTTCCCAAGAAGCACATTCTAGTGTTTATTCTATAAAAAAATGAATGAAAATTCAAGGGTTGGGAGGCAAGAGTGCAAACATTTTAGGCACTTTTTGGCCAACTTGAAACCCCCTATTGTACATAAATCCTAATCAAAAACTTACAACACATCCCTTTGATGAATCTAAAATCTTAAGATCCTAAAATGATTCTAAATAATCCAATTGATTAAAGCTATTCAGATCAGACTGAAGAATCACATTCTCACTTAAATCTATGTATGTATCCTTACTGAAATCTTATCTAGTATGGCAGTAGCACATACATCTCAAAGATTATGTGATCACAAGTATACTTTCTTGCAGTCTTGAGAGGACCCCGGTATGCTCTTATAAGGGGTACAGATCCAAAAATGTGACTTTTGAGCTCGCTCGGAAACTTGTCCCTGGCTTTACCCATAGCTTTAAGACAGGTTTAGTCTTTTTAATCAGCTGTATTGGACTTAGCAACTCTGAAATTCAGGCAGAAACCGGTAAAATCCAAGAGAAAGCTGTTTAATCCCATATGTCGTATCTCCGCGCGAGCTCAAAAGTCACAATTCTAGATCTGTACCCTTCATAGGAGCATACCGGGGTCCTGTCTTGAGTGTTTAGACATATAAGTCTAGTATATAGTACTAGTACCTCTGAGCCTAGTTCATCAGCTAGACTTAGTATTTTTCAAGAACACACACCAGGGTACATACTGAACTTAGTCAAACAAGAAACTCAAAGACACCATTCTTGAATTATACATTCAAGCTTATGGTCTGTAAAAGAATTAGTTCATCTCATCCACAAGTTAAAGACATCAAATCTTCAAGTCAAGAAAAAATGTTCATCAACATCCGTTAATGAATTTCAAAAGATTCACTTTCTGTTCTTCTTTTCCTTTTGCTAAGTTTTTTTCGATCCAATCATCACCTCACACCATTTTCCTTCTCAACAACTTCTTCTTCTTCTTCTTTTAATTTCTATCTGCATTTCACTTGGTTTCAGTTTTCTTTGGTCTACTTTGTAATACAAATTTTAACAATATATATGTAGTACAATTTTTTTTTAAAATATTTGAAAAACAATGAAAATAATTAGATGATGAGTTTTTTTTTCTTTGCGGAAGAAGATTTACATGAACCAAAAAGTCAATCAAACAATCAATTGTACATAAATGAAAACAACGCCAAGTATATATATAAAAAGACAAATGAAATTGAAAACAAACAAATGATTGAAAACAAACAAACATGATCGATGATTGGTTTTAAAAAGAATTACATGGAGAAAAATTTTAAGATGACATATGAATCAAAAGAAAAAAAAGAAATGTTTTTTTAGTTTTTGTTACAGGAAAGATCTGTTTTTTTATTCTTCATATCTTTTTACAAGTGATTGTTGGACAGAGAAAAAGATGATTAATGTGGAATGTATAGAATTAGAATTAAGATGCAAAACAAACAACAATTAAAATGAAAGACTTTTTTCTTTGATTTTTGATTTTTGATTTTGGGATTACGAAAAACCTTAACCAATCATTCGAACTAAACTCCAAAAGAAACCAAAAAAAAGTACCATCAATCAGAACCAAATGAGAAATTTAAAAACCAAAAGCAAAAGACAAAACGAGAAGAAAACACAGACCATCAAACAAAATTTCTTTAAGTTGACGTAACTCGATTTCCAATTCCTGAACCACACTTCTCAATTTAACATTCTGATCCTCTAAACCTCTAGCTTTACTTTCCAAACCGGTTTCAGTTTGTTTACGTTTAGCTCTCGAACGACTAGCAGCCAATCGGTTTCTTTCCAAGAAATCTTTCCTTTTCCCACCTCTTGAAACATGATTTTGATTAGATTCTTTTGAAGTTGGGTTTGGTTGGGTTGGGATTGATGAATGGGTTGATGAGCTGATCGATTGAGTCGGTGATTGTGTTTCTGGAATCCTATCGAATCCTTCATATACTATATATTCATTTTGACTTTGTGGTTGTGGTTGGGGATGGTATTGAAGTGGATCAATCTTATTTAAGAAACTATCGACTTGATCTAATTTGATGTTTGATGATGAAGATGAACAGAATGGATGATGGTCTCCAAGTGGAATCGGATGAACTTCATCAATCGAAAGTAACAAAGGATCGATTCTAGATTGTGAAAGTTTAGTTTCGATCGGTTGAATCGATCGGTTTCTTCTTAAACCTTCTTCTTCTTCTTCTGCTTGTACAACAAATCTTAATAATTCATCATCATTTTCTGAGGTTCTTAATGTTCTTTGATCTGTTGTAGCTCCAGTTGAGATCTGTGACCAAAATTCATCTATTAAACCATACTCTGTTCTAGTGATCGGTAATGGATCATTAAGCTTAGAACCGAGATCAGATCAGAAGAATATAGGTTTCCAAGGTCAGTGATTGATGAGTGAAGAAGTCAATATACAAGTTTCAAATCACTTACAGAAACAGGAGGAGGAGATAGTGTTAAAAAAGAAGAATGATCACAAAAAGGAGAAGTAAGAGAAGAAGCAGAAGAAGAAGTTGAAGGACTTGTAGAATGATCTTGTGTTGTGTTGGTAGTACTGGTTGTAGTAGTTGAATGATGATTAGATGATTTTGGAATGAATTGAGAAGATTGATGAAGAAGAGCACATTCACTAAAATCAATCCAAGATTCGATTAATGGTAAGTCAAGTTGATTAGTAGTATTAGTGTTCTGGTCATGACTATCATTTAGTATTTCATTAAGATCAGTTTCATCGATTATCATCATGATGAAGTCAATCAGACTAAGTGTGAAGAACTATGCAGAGTGATCGAGCTCAATACTATCTAATCAACGATCTTGGTTTTTGGTTTTCTGTTCTTTTGTATTTGGTTTGGATGGTTGATTTGTGATCGATCGATCGACTGAAATGGTTTTTGATTTTGATTTGGTTGTTTACCAATTTGGTGATTTCAAATCAATCTAAAGGTCATGTTTAAGCGATTTAAGTGAATTGGTTGATCTTCTTTCATAACATTCCTTCGCTTCATCAGAATATCTCATCTATTAACTACTAACTACAACCATCTCATACTAGACTTTCTTAATAATCTTCATCATACATCATCAAATTACTTCACTTACTTCACTATTCATCTCCATAGGATCGGATTACACATTCACAAAAAAAAACTCAATCACACATCAATTTACATAAATATGGATCATGGTCATACAATCGATTTCCTTACAAACCTTTATGACTCATTCAATCTTCATATTAGGCTACCAATTAACTTTCTTTCAACACTTTCATCTTCTTCAAAGTTTTTCAATCTATGTCATCCAACTCAACCAAGCTCACACTCAGCTCTTCTCCCGCTATCGGCATGGAGCGGTAAGCATCTTTTGGGCGCGGTATTTTACAATTGAATTGGCGAACAAGAATGTCAATGCTGTCAATGCAGGAATGATTGGACCAAAGCATGATCCAAAATTGAAAACTGTCACTGGTCAGATATGCCAAACACACCCACCCCGGTTCAAATCCCCACTGCCCGAGTCCACTTTCAGCCTGCTCAACACTTGCCTCCACATCACACTTTGACATTGATAATCATTCAAAGCTGTGTATGTATAATTTTATAATTTTTTGTGCATAGTTTTTTTTTTTGGCCCAAATTACCTTTTTTTTGGCGGTGAAAAAAGTATATTTAGGCAAAAAGAAAATCTATGTAGAGCTTAAATTAAAGACCTCTTGTATATGATTTTATCTTCTTATTTCACCTCAACCTCATCCCTTGTATTACTATTGATCAGCAGCAAAAAAACAAGTGCACATGTCTTATCAAGATGTCCTCTTTTCATGGTTCAAGTAGAAGATCATTTTCAAAAAAAAGCCTTGCTCAAATTTGGCATCAATTAAATAAATGTAAATTCCTAAAGCCCCCCCCTCCCTTCAAGCAAAAGTTCAGCACTTATGCCTCCCCTTAGGGCTACACACATAAGTGCTGAGCTTCTGCTTGAAGACTGGAGCCTACAAGCCTATGTCCAACTGACACCACTACTGTTTCAGCCGCCACTGGTCCTAAAGACAACTTCCTGGCTTGCTGTTGAGGGGCGTGGGGATCAAATATGATTGCCTCCCAGTTGTCCTCCTCTTATAGTCGGATCTCTGTGTCTTCATTTTAACATTCTTCTTTGTTATGCTATGCCTTTGTTGTTCATTTGGCATTCTTTTGATCAGTGTTTTTCTTAATTCATCAGACTCTGTATGACTCTTTTTCAGTGCTTTCAACTTATTGAGTTCCCAATTTCTTACCTTGGCCTTCTATAACAACCATCTCTGTCTCAACTTTTCAATACATATCACATTATTCTCCAACTTATGCTATAACCGTAAGCCTGATGAATATGTAGACCCTGCGCCTACAATTAGGGGATACAAAGTTAAATCTGGGATTTTTTTCCCAGTTTCCCAGTTTTTGTTTTTGGCTGTGTTTGGTACTTTCCCACGCTCTCCCAGTTTCCCAGTTTCTGTTTTTGGCTGTATTTTGGAAACTGGGAAACTGGGAAAAAAATCCCAGATTTAACTTTGTATCCCCTAAATGTAGAACTCCCTTTATAGCCATTTATTTCTTAAGCCATCCTTTGAATACAACTAAGCTCAACTCATATCTTTTTCCTCTTCTGTCCTTCCAAAACTTCGCCTCGCCTCCACTCTAGCTAGCAACAATCTCTATCAATCAAATTCCACCCACTTTAATTGATTTTTACCTTATATATATTAAAATATGAATCTCCATCCGTTAGGATCACCTCTACCATGTGCAATACTTCTGTCACTCTACTCACACTATTCTACCAATTATTAGACCAAAGTTATACAACTATACATGTTTACTTTTTCTTAATTCATCAATTAGTGTCAACCGCAAGTGGTCCTGCTGTGCAGAACCTCCATGGTATAGACAACAAAGATCACATTCCAATATTTTGCATATATAATACCCAATTAAAATAAAACCATATTTCTTTTTAAAAATCATACATCTCTCTCACTTGTGTTTCAAGAGTGTAGAAACAGAAACAAAAACATTAGAACAAAACCCTTAGAACCCTGGTTTAACTAAAAAACATAATCACCTTACCCCTTGCAACCAGCAAATACATGACAAGGAAAGTAATTACAAACCAGGCTAAATATAGTTGTTGAATACAACCAATGACAGCAGCCCTGATCAAAATCCTAAGGAAATTAGAAGTCCAGGCCAAGATATTTGAACCCTGACCGAAAATGTGCAAAGTAACTAACTGCTACGAAAGAAGCACTATATAATGTGAGTTCTTCTTTGTACGAGAAATAAAAATATCTGTTACGACATATATCAAATTTTACCAACAAAATCCTATTTTTGAAAAAACCTATGTTTTACTCAAATATCCCCTTTTACCTTTGTTTGTTCAAATTACTTTAGTAGAAACCTCTTAGAAACTTCTATCAATAAGCTTCTTTATCTTCCAACTTTAGTACTTGACCAGATTACCTTTTTTCTTCTACTTCATCTTTTTACTAGAATCTGTCACAGATCATTTGGGTATTTCCAATCGACTGACTTATTCTCTTTTCATATCTCTCTTGATAAAAGGTCTTGTTTTTATCAAACTAACGCTAAAGTGTAACCCAGGATCATTATACGTTAGTTTGTATTCACCTTGGCAGATTAATAAGTGATTTCACTTACTTATAACTGGCAGCGGTATTCATTCCGCACCACAGACAGCTATACCTAACAAATATAGCTTTATAACATCTTACTCACAAAGAATCAGAAAATAATTCCTCTTGGGTTTTACCAAGAACTCAAACAAATACATTTTGTGAGTACAATTTAGTTTAGAGCTCATTTAGTTAACCCTTCAATAGAGTCCTAGGCTGACAATTAGCATGCTTTGTTGGTGGCTTTGTCATCATCATACATAGACCTCATATATCTGCTTTGCTCTTGCTAATTTCGGCTCACTACTGTGCATCATGCTGTTGTTTCTCAACTTCATCATGCATCAGTATTTCAGCTTCATCAATGATTCTTAAGATTTCATTTGCCTATTCCAATTTCTGCATGATCTTCAAGCTTGGCAAGCAGAGCCTTTCTGTGTTATTTGCCCTCTACTCTGACCCCTTGGCAACTTGAACAACACATTTGTCCGCTCCATTGGTTGGTCAATTACAACTTTCTGTACTTGCTCATTGTTTGTAAATTTTTCCCCAAGGTCTGGAAATTACAATTTGATTTATCTCATTCTCCCTCTCCAATATACTACATATATTCATATCTCCTCATCTCACAACTATTATCAATGTATTGTTCTTTGTCTATTTCAGGTCACAAAAAGTTGTGACCAAATCATATCAAGATATAATGCATCATAAGTAGGTGGAGAATGTCTCAATCAAACAGGTTTAGCTAAGACTGGATATACTTGTCATGGGTTCTGGTTTTCGGTTTGGGATTGAATGGTTTCTCTTTCTGACCATCACGATTCTGTCAGTGAGATGTGATTTTGTACTTCAAGATGCTCAAGTGGTTCTGGTCAACAGGAGTGGTATCACTACTGACCAGGTAGAGTGAGTTGTTCAATTGTCTTTGAAATGTTTTTGCTTTGGATCTAGGCTTACAAGTGATGTATGCAATCAATTCTTGTAGTCTTTCATCAACTGTCATTTGATCAAACAAATTCTTCAGTTACTTCTGAAAACATACTCAAACTTACCCTCTGTATCACTGGCAGTTCTTCTGATGGAAAGGACTCAATTGCATCCAACATGCTACTCCCATACCCCTACTGAGGCACAAAGGATTGCTCGCATGTGTAGCCACTTCACTTAGATTTAATTGACCACTATACTGACTGGGTAATTCTGACACCCATATTCAAATCCTTAGCACTGTTGTAGAACTTAAAGCTCAACAAGAGCTTTACAGAGCTTAAAGAGGGATAGTCTACTAATATAACTAGTAGAAGTTGCCTAAGACTGCCTCTTTGAAAGAATCCACGCAAGGTTTTGCTGAATTCTTTGGGATAAGGCACCAGAGAAATTGTTTTCAATACTTAAGTCAAGTCTTATTCCTGTGAGTTTTAGAAATAAAAGAAACCTCAACACTGCTATAGTGTTATTCCAATCTGAGCACAACAAAACACACTTTTAATTACTAGCAAAGCAACAATCAATTAGATTGTTATTCCAAAGAAGACTTGTAGTCTTATCACACATAAAGAAATCTCTCCTTTGATATAAAGGGGCAATTTAGTGAACTTAGTACTGATAAAGTAATTTAATAATGATTAAAAACACTCAAACAAAAGTATAAGATGAGTAAAAAGGGGAACAAAGGCACATAAATTCCCTAACAATAGTATATAACACTCCAACAATCCTCAATAATGGTCAACAACCTCCAAAAACCTTCAAAACCCGTCAAAAATCAACAGAAATCCTCCAATGTAACCATATGATGTCATGAATATTATTGTTTGTAATGATCCAAGGTGTGAATTTGATCAATTGATGTTAATAAATGATGAACAGATCTTCTTATGATGAATACAGCTGATTTTTTCCTAATATTCATAGCTGAAATCCATTTTTGGAATTACAAATCTTTTGTAAAGTTGTTCAATTTTGGATTACTATAGCTCATTTGATAGCCCTCGTGATACTGATCATTTATCACCCCCATATGACCTATCTCTGATGTGTATTGAATAAGTTATTGAGCTGTAAAGATTGAGAAAATAAGCTTTTGTCATGTAAATGTTATATGTAACCACCAAATTCGAAATTCACTCCATTTTCTTTGTTTGCTTATACCTTTTTCACTACTCCTCCGTTAATAATGATTTAAAAGCTGTACATTATGAAACCAATGATTATGCGTCGAATGAACTATTACACACCCAATTCTGAAAAGTTTTGACATATGTAATTAGCTGAAGACCTCCATTTTTGATGAATTTTGACCATTTTCACGTCTAATAATGATTTTTCTTCTATCAAAAGATCATCCCACAGCATTCCAATCAACCACACAATCATAAAATCCTTCTGAAAAACCCTTGGCGCAATTAATCCTTCAATGACATCACTACACAGGAATTAATACCGTACTACCCTTTTTCGAAATACCCCTTTTCTTGAATCATTTCACACCTCCCTTTTCAATCCTTGTGATTAAGGTTGCTGATGACTAATGTTGTACCTCTCTTTCATAATAAAACCTTCCTGAACCAATAACTCTTATAATAATAACCTAAAAACCATTTTCCAACCTTCCATACCCATATTTTCAAAATTTCTTTCAACTTTTCTAATGTTATCCTTCTTCTTTCATTATTTTCATAACAGTTTCCATGCTTGAAAATCCAAAATAAATTTTCTTCTTCTTCCAATTCCTCCTTACTAATTCTTTTAATTTAATTTTCACTCTTATACTATTTTTATTGATCTTTTCAAAATTTTCTTTTCTCTTAAATTTTCTTATCAAATGAATATGTAAATATATGATTTAAAAGATAATTAAATGAAGATTACAAATCAACTTTGAGACCCTTGATGACTAATAACTCCAACAATAACTTTGCCTTTGACTAAAAATACAAATTTTCCAATAATTTTTAATTTTTTTGCTTAAGTAGAGATCTTGCTCACCACAGCGGTTTGAAAGATTCCAAAGTCCTCTTCCACTTGGTTAAGTCATCCCTGACATCCTCTGGAATAGCACATTTTGCTGACAAAACTTTCCATTCCACCTTCCATCTATACAAACTAAGCAAGTAACAATGCAGATTTGGCACAATATATGTAGTATGGACAAGCCTTCCCACAAGTTTGTCCACCTCCTTGTAAGTGAGTTTCTCATTTGGATATAGAAATTGAATAACCTGAGCTAATCTTTTGGCAAATTTCTTGTCGGGCAATCTAACCGTCCTTTCTGCTGAATTCCACACAAACCTGATATACCTTTGCTCCTTGGCAAATTCGTGAACCTTTTGTTCATTCAATAGCACACCCATGGAATTACTCAAGGTAACCACATTCCCAATATTAGTTGGATTTGTAACTTCTTTGATGAGTAAATTGTCATCTACCCAACAAAAGGCGCTTTCAGACCAAACAGCTCTTTCACAATCTTTTTCCACAAGTCAGCTGGTCTTCCGAATATGCCACAGCCTGCGACACCTTCAAAATGTACTCTTGAGTCCAACCATAATCTATTCTGTAAGTCCAGAATGAATGAATACCTCCATTGACTTGGGTGAATTAGTATCTGCCAATACGCCTTTTCCCAATCAAAGATTGCTAACAAAAAGTTTCCTTTTTCCTCACTGAAGAACTTCGCTAAGACCTTAAAGTCGTCCCACGTAGTATCAAATTCTTTCTTATTGACAAAACTATTGACTGACAGAGTATGTTTAGAATTGTGTGGGTCAGACATGTAGTTGATAATACAGAAGGAACCATCTCCGTTTATCACACTCCCCATAGGGCTTGACCAAAAGAACCCAATCTTCATGAAGACTTCTTTGTGGTTAAAAGGACCGAATATTCACCCTTCTCTGTGCTCTTTTGCTACGTATTTTTAATCTTTTCGGCTGCTGATTTAGCCGATTTGTGATTGCTTGGAGTAAACCACCTTCTGTGCCCTGAAAGATGTTCTGGGATTCCCTGGTGGTAACCCTTGATCAGACCGCTAATTATGTCTTCCGCCTCTTTACTCAGGCCACATTCATCCGCCAACACTTGCCATTCCTCCACTTTCAATCCACACTTGGCGGTCTCTTCAGGCCAGTGGCTATCAAACGACGTCCCTGAATTTGCGTACGGTTTAATCAACTCAAGATTTATCAATTCACCAGTCATTACATCAATCATCAGGTCTGGTCTCTTAGGTTCAATAACTTCCTTGACATCACCTAGGCTCTTGACGGGATTCACCCTTGGTCTCTTATCACTAGAAAGGACCAAACAAACAAGCAAGAAGGGCAAGCACACCATGTTAGAATACTGACTCCAAGAAGATTTAATCATGCATTACTGCCGCGCTTAAATAAGAACAAAGATGACTAGAGTAAAAAACATCAAACAACTCCACATTGTTAAAAACACAACAACAGGGACAAGCATATGTGTGGTGGGAGTATTCAACACCTTGACTCTAAATGAAGATAGAATTGGAAAGAAATAACAGCCTCGCAGGAGATACTGTATGAATTGGTGCAACACACAAACAATGATCTCCTTTTTGGTTTTGAGCATTGACAACACAAGTACGTGGATTAAAATTGAGGAATATCACTCTAGGCTAAATGACCGTTTGGCGTACTTTGCCTTCCCCGCAGGCCCTGCGTTGTCTTGGTCATCACCTCGCTCACGTCTCTCGGCGCGCCATGCATCTCTATGACGATTAGGACTACAATCTCTAGCACCGTGGTTCCCTTGCTAACTTCCTCTACGGCCTCTGACGGCATGTCCTCTGAGCTTGGGTCTTCTATCTTGCCAGGCGTTTGAGGTCGAACCGCCCGGCCCATCATACACTGGTAAGCCAGAGAAATTGTTCTGTTGAGAGAAGTTCTGAGATCTAGGGGTAGGTCTATTGAACCCTTGTATTATAGCCGGATTAGTAACGCGGCCATTGCCTCCGGAAATAGGATCGATGAAGGCTTTGACTTCTCCGTCGGCGTAAGGATTGAGTTCTTTGAATGCTGGTAGGAAGTCCTTCATTCTCTCAGTCTCTTGTGACACTTCACGTTCTAAACGTCCATCACGTATAGCAGGGTTAGCTAGCGATCCATCAGGGAGGTGAAAGGTCATAATCACGGTTTGTACAGCCAAGTCGTAACGGAAAGCAACAGGCCAGTTTGAATTCTCTTTCTTGATAGCAAAAACGTTTTCTTTGTGTTATTTGAATTTGCTGGCTAATTTGTTCCATTTGTAGTACTGATGGTAAGCTATAAACAAGTCAAACACAACGACCCATTCTCCTCAAGTAATCTTCCATTCAAGAGGAACAGTAAGGCCAATGTAAGTGTCTTCCAGTTTTTCTTTCACAGACCGTTTACGAATAGACTGTTGAAGAAGATCCTGTCTTAACCATTGGGGGTTGAACACCAAAATTGGTATGTAGGCGTCAAGAGAGGTCATCTTGGCACCAAAGTACTTTGACAATGCTACCAAGCCATGGGATTCAATACCCTCATTGCTGAAACAGATTGTAGCAGATGTGGTGGTCTTAGTCGTACTAGCATTTTTGTCTTCTGTTTTGTCTTTGGTATCTGACAGTTCTAAAGCTTGCTTTAGAAACAAGCCAGAACGGGGTTTAGGTGTATTGTTGAGCAGAACCGGGTTGATGACGTTGCAACTGTTGTGTTGAGTTCTAGAGGGCAGGGAAGCAGGGAGGCTAGAAGTAGAAGATGGAGCAGGTATGATTTTGCTACCATTGGTTTTGTCAACAGCATTAATCCGACTGACTTCCGTGCTAGCACCTCCCGGGGTCATAGGGACCAGGGTAAAGCCTTTAGAGTTTAACCAAGATTCAATACCGTCCGGGGAGCACTTGTTGATCTGGGAGAGGATTCCGCTAGCTTGACCTTTGATGGCAGCTGCTTGACCTAGTGATGGAGGTACTACACAGCACAGAATAGAATGAAAACAAACAATTAGTTTGTGTTGTCCAGATTTCCGTTATTTGGCTCTCCACTGAGGCATCACTTGAACGTGGCATCACAATGTGGCTTTGCATACGCGGCATCACCTAGGTGGGGGGTTTAAACATTCTGAAGCTTACATGGTGTGTCATTGACATTATGCGTATTCACCACTTCTATAGAAATCAACGGGACGGAACCGGCACTTTTGGGCTGGGCTGAACCACCAGAATGTGCAATACTGGTGTTGGAGCCTTTGGATCCTTGGACTTGGGCTTTGGCGTCCTTGGTGGCCAAAGACTTCACCGTCAGTGTGTCTTTAGCGACTTGAGTGCCTAGGTTGGTGGGCGTCTCAGCACCAATTTTTTCTTTAGTCGTCACATCACCAGTGTTATTGGCTTGCAAAGCTGAAGAAGAAGCGGTAGCCGGATTAATTGGAGGCACGTTGGGTTGTGTCAACGCGGTCTCCCCGGGGGTGGGACCCTTCTTTGCACCGGCGGCCTTGCCTTTACGACCTTGTGACACGGAACCAGAGGACGCCTTATCGCCGGAAGCATCAGCAGTCGTGTTGTTTTCTTCCGTAGTTAAATCGGTAAGCTGAGTACCCGGAGGGGAATCAGAATCAGAAACACCACAGAGCCTCTCACTTATCCTCTTCACATTAGCATTAAACTGATCAATGCCGCTTGGGTTAGACATTTTTATTGCAATGAAATATCTTTATGTAGATAAAGGAACTGCAATTATGTAATGCTTTGAGAATGAGAAAATTTTCTGAGGAAAATAAGAAACTCTACTGATCAGAGGTATCCAATTCAATTCTCTCTTCTCTCAACTAAATTATTTTGTGCTTGTCTCACTTTGTAGCCTCACTATTGCTTCAAGACAGTGGCAAAATCAATCTGGAGGCAAATATGTAATCAAGCTTACTAGCTTTCAACTGAGCGGGTTTTGAGAATTCTGAGTTAAACTTACACTCAATATTAATCATTGATGTGTGTCAAGTGTCAATGGTAATTTCTAAAGAAGTTGAATGAAGTTTTGAATTATTAGATGAACAGATTTTAACAAGATTCAAACTCAAAAACAACATAAGTTGACAAACCAGGATAATCCATTCCCAACCCAAGTCAAATGATAATCAACCTATTACTGCTAAAGCTCTAGATCTCAACCTGGTTGCCTAGATGAATTGTGTACATCTGGCTGTCTTGAGGCACAATTGATATGGTGGAAATTGGGTGGAACTACTAATTATGAGTACTGGCGGGCCATAGCACTTGTTGGAAAGTGGCAAGTAATAGATCAGAACAAGTGGTTGAGTAAGGGAGTCCATTGCAATTTCAAACACCATGTATCTTATACAGTATTCAGCTCTCTAGACATATATTTACTAAAAGGGCCTATTGGTGACTTTCAAAAATCATGGTGAGGTGGCATTAAAGATTTGGGATGAAATGCCACAGGATCAAAAGGCACACAAAGGAATGTAACATAAAAGGTACTAACAACTTATGACACAGAATTCTACACTTTTCATGATCACATAGTGACAAAAGCCTTTTAGTAATGTTCAGACTCTTCAATGATCCAGACAGAGAAGACACAAGATTCAAAGATTTTTGCTTGTACCTCATTGATCATTATGCCTGCCATGCACAACTTTGCAATCAACCTCAGTTTAAACAGTCAGTATCAAAGTTAAGATATCACTCTGGCAATTGGGTGATGATGTTGTATGTAATAGAAGGGTTGTTAATTAGTCTTCTTAAGTTGATGTAGAGCCTG